CCCCAAAACCCCAAAACCCCAAAACCCCACATTAACAAATAATAATTGGATAATCTGTTTGAAATAATCAATAGTCTTTTATTTTATTTTAATCATGTATAGTTAATCTGCTTATCTATTTTATCAACTGTCTTTTTTATAAGGCTTAAGTTATATCCAATACTTTTCTCATTGAAGTCAACGAAAGTTAGAGTTTTAGATTAGCAAAATGCTCTTAAATCAGTTCCTCCAAATATCAAAAGCTTATCTCCATTAAGTGCTCCCATTACACTAAGAGTTCTTCCCATTAATTAAGATCCAAATAGAACGAGCGTAATCCAAGTGTTGTTAACTATATGGGTAAAAACTAAATCAATTTTTACCAAAATCAAATAGATTCAAATCGTTCAAAATGGGATTGATTCCATCCTTCATAATTGTATCATTTCTGCCTCCAAAAACGCAAAGATACAATCCTTTTATTAAGCAAGCAGAGTGTCCATATCTAGGACACGGGCCCTTGCCCATAGGACTTAGTTTTCTAGCTGTTACATAAATCTCTGTGTCAAAGTCTAAATTAAGATAAGCACCATTTGATGCATACACATCACTTTTGTTAGAACTTTGATTTGGCTCAATTAACCATAATTCATCTTTAATTTGCTTCTTTTCATTTATCCCACCAAAGACTAGCATTCCTCCATAGTTAAATTTGACTTAAGAGTTCTATTAATAAAGTTCAGGAGGTAAATCCCAAAGCCTTCTTGATTCTCTCATTTGCTGATTAAGATCTAAGTTGTAAAATGTTGTCATTGTATGCATTTATAGTTTCGGCAGGGGATTTTTAATAAGTTTTTAATGGATCTTCACTAAACCTTTCTCAGAGTCTATGTAAGAATTGACTCCCCCATTTAACCATTTATTGATTTCTAAAAATTATTGTAAACATAAGTTACCTAAATCAAAGACTGAGACATCATTCATAAGTTTATTTTCTTCGGCATATAATCCTCCATATACTACTAGCATTGATCCAAATACAGCAGATGAATGATTCATTCTCTTTTTGCCTCCCATTCCCTCATCCTTTGAATAGTCTTTTTCATCCCATTTTTAAGTATCTGAATAGAAATGGTTAATATTTAATAGAAATCCTACTTTTATCAAACATTCTCAGATCTGAATGAGTGAATCTACATTTTAAACTCTCTATATAATGGCCAGCACCCCCATACAGAATCAATTTAGCTTTATAGCTTTCCAAACTATGACCAAATCTCGGCATTGGGAGATCATTCTTGTCCTCATTTAGTTATTCTAATAACCTCCATTTTTACTCATGAAAATCATAGACTCTCAAATCATTAAGTATATTGTTTCCAATTCCTCCGAATAGCACTAGTTTATGATTATCTAAGTTGACTATCTTTGAGTTAGTTCGGGCATTAGGCATATCTGAATTTAAATTTTCTTTAGACTCATGGTAACATACTATGATCTTATCTGAGTTAATAGAATTTATTTCTTCAATAATTTTACTCTATCGTCTACCAGCTATCTTTGTTTGTGGTTTGATTTTCAACAAGGAATTGTATTTATCCCTAACAGTTTTAAGGAGTTTTAGTTCTTAATCTGACATAACTTGAAACTCCATTAAGTTAAGCTCAATAAACTGTTTTCTAAATTTTTCTAACTGAGCTTTACTTTCTAAGTCGTCAAAGAACTTAATCTACTCAAGTGCAAGAATAAATGACTCAAAATCAATCTTATTAAATTTGAAATCAGCGTTTCCACTAAATTTTGGTTTCTATGCATATGAGATTATTTGCCTATATTCATTCAATCTTTCCCTGGGGACTGATTTATTAGCTCTCTTTTCAATTAGTTTAATTAATTCTGTTCCGTTTGGTTCATGGTAATCTATATAATTTCTTAGATCTTAAAGCCTTTGAGTATTAGTAATATTTGAAATCCTCCCTTTAAGTTCATTAGGGTGGTGCAACGATAATTTGCTGATTTCTATTCTCGATACAGATGGACTTTATTATAAGTTCTACTTTTCCATTACTATCTTGTCATTAAATGCATCTATTGAGAAATGATATTTCTTAAGATCCTGCGATAATAATCTTGACTTATTCAAAGATAAGTTGCGGCTTTAATCATTGATGTTGAGATAATTTATCTAATTGTTTACGTCTTCCACTAATCGGCTATCCTTTAGCAAACTCTACTCAGTTTGAATATTTTAAAAGATTATTCCTGAATCATCTAAATTGCTGAAACTGGTATCGTGATAATTTTACTAATGCGACTATAGTTGCTATTACTGTTAATCAAAGAGATTGTCATTTGAATGCTCACTCCTATAGAGCATCTTAATCTGATTGTTTTGATTATTTGTTTCCTCAATCTTTGTAAATATCTTTTCTAGATTTTTCTTTTTATATCTCAGCAGATCACTTACTCGCTTACTCTATTCTTAGATGGTTTCTCTTTAAGTCTATAGTGTATTGGTGTTTTATGATTAGTTATCATAGAGCTTAGACATATTTATAGATGCCACTGATTAATTAAGATTCAAAATAGAGCCTCTTCCCTCAGTTACTTAATCTTAATTATGCATGTTAGAAAGCTACTATTCGGTATTTTGCTTTAAATAAAGGATTGAATTGGGACGTCTATTTCCTGAATTAGGATCAAGACTTCTTTTAATTTGTTTCAACTCCTCATTAGTCAGATCAATGGATCCCTTTCCTAAATTCCTTGATCTATTCTATCTATCTTCTCTAAATCTTGACTCATTAGCTTGGAATATATTTGGTCTCGGACTAGTCTTAAATGGGTTCTGAGGGAGCTTTTATTGAGTCGACTAATCAAGTTATTATTTCGAATGGTCAGTGAGCATATTTGAAGATATTTCAGTTTTAATGGCTCAATTAAGTCTTTATTGCAAGGATTCAGTTTATTAGGTGGCTCTTTATTTATTGGGAACTTGATATCCATAAACTTTAGCATATTAGCCGAGTTCAGTTGAAGAGATGAGAGACCGATTTCTTGCTTTTATGATATCCTCAAAATGTCATTAATCGTAATTGTCAATAAGTTTTCTTAATTTTTCTACTTCTTTTATTCCAATGATAGAGCTGCAATTAATTGAGATTTTGAGCAAGTCTTTTCCTTTTTAAAGAATAGGTTTCACCTTTACGTCCATCTATGATCTCTCTTCGCTTATCCTCCCTAGATCGATGAAACTCTGGTTGTTTTGTCTTATCTATGGAAACATTTATTTTAATTTAACTTATATTATTATAATCCACTTTATCATCATCCAGATTTTGCCTTCAGGGGTTTTGGGGTTTTGGGGTTTTGGGGTTTTGGGG